TAACAATTTGCTTATTTCCACATACATATATGAATCCAAAAACAGTTTTCTGTGCATGTATTGATGTGCATCAAGGTATATATTTTAAAAGGTGTAATTCTGCACTATTTTTTTTAGAAAACATTAATATTAATGATGTGTAAAAGTCCATTTTTTTCCTTTTAACGTCTCTGAGGTTTTTCATCATGCGATCATACCACATACATTTATCCACTCCCCTATTAATGGTTATCTTGTTTCTGCCTCATGATACCCATTTATCTTATGTATGCATTTCCTAGAGCCATTCCACTTCCTGGTTATTTGCACTTAATGTATTTGGCCTTGAACCTATTTGACCTCAAACTCCACTCAAACATTTCCAACTCAAAATACAGCAGATGCTAATTGCCCATTTATAGGATATACAAGAGACTGAGAAACATAGCAAACGACACCAAAAGGATGTAATCAGCAAAATCCTGCAAAGAAACCTTACAGGATAAAATGCTTCCTTCAACAAAAACTGTAAGAGGTGAAAAAGAAAAGAGAGAGATGAAAGGGGAATCCGTAATTTAAAAAAAAAAAAAAAAAAAAAAAAAAAAAAGACTGTGCTTCAAAGGATACCATCATAAAAGGAATAAACAACCCATAAAAGGAGAAAATGTTTATAAACAACATATCTGATAAAGGACCTATAACCAAATTAAATAGAATTCTTATACCTCAACAGAAAGGAAAACAACCTCTTAAAAAATGGACAAAGAGCCGAAACCTGTTTGGCTCAGGGGATAGAGCATCAGCCTGTGGACTGAAGGATCCCAGGTTCAATTCCGGTCAGGGGCATGTACCTTGGTTGCAGGCACATCCCCAGTAGGAGGTGTGCAGGTGGCAGCTGATCGATGATTCTCTCTCATGGATGTTTCTAACTCTCTAACCCTCTCCCTTCCTCTCTGTAAAAAATCAAATTTTATATATATATATATATATATATATATATATATATATATATATATATAATTTTTTTTTAATGGACAAAGACTCTCAACAGACATTTCTCCAAAGAAGATATACAAGTGACCAATAAGCACATGAAACAGTGTTCAACACCATTAGTCATTAGGGAAATGCAAATCAAAACCACAAAGAGACACCACTTCACAGCCACTAGAAGGGTAGACTGCAGAAATCAGAACCTTCATGCAGTGCTGGTGGGAACGGAGAACGGTGCAGCCACATTGGAAAAGTCTGACAGTTCCTCAAATGGACCCAGTAGTTCCACTCTTATGTGTACACCCAAGAAAAATAAAAACATATTCCCAGCCAAAACCTTGTATGTGAGTGTTCACTGCAGTATTATTCATAATGGCCAGAGTGCAAACAAGTCAAATGTCCATCTACTAAGAAAGGAAGAAGCAAAATGTGGCATATCCAAGGCCTGGGTGCAAGAGCAGCACCCACAGAGTGGGGAGCAGGCGATGGTTTTGCTGGGGGATCTGGAGAAAGAGCTCAATGAACCGCAGCATGAAATTGCAGCCTGCAGACACAGCCACTGGCACCCAGCGTGGTGGCTCAATGGTCGAGTGTTGACCTATGAACCAGGAGGTCACGGTTCAATTCTCCAGTTCGATTCCCCATCAGGGCACATGCCTGGGTTGCGGGCTCGATCCCCAGTAGGGGTGTGCAGGAGGCAGCCAATCAATGATTCTCTCTCATCACTGATGTTTCAGTCTCTCGCTCCCTCTCCCTTACTCTGTGAAATCAATAAAAATATATTTAATTTAAAAGAGAGACAGTGGCTCCAGAGGAGAGGCACCTTGGGTCTTCCATCCCTGGAGGAGCCCCTACTCACATGGGATCCTACCTACCCTATTGGAGAGACAGACAGACTGACCAGGACTGAGGAAGGAGAGTGGTGCGAAGAAAATAGTCCTGAGATAGTAATCCTGAGCAACATAGGAGGATATTTTATGGAGACACCTGGGAGGTGTCACACCAGGATGCCCAACATGGAGAAGCTGGTGAGCATAAGGCTCCGATTGAAGGGCCCTGGGGAAACCCCATAGAAGAAAGACAACACCAATGTGATGAATATGGGAAGAGCTTCGCTCAGAGATCAGGACTCATTCAGCATCAAAGAATTCACACTGGAGAAAGACCCTATAAAGGTAATGAGTGTGGGAAGGCCTTCAGTCAGAGTGCCAGCCTCATCCAGCACCAGAGAACCCACAGGGGAGAGAAGCCAGTTGGTGCTCCTCACTCCTTTCGTGTGGAGCACCGGAAAAGCCCTCCGGGGAGCGGCCTCCCAGTGCAGTAAGTGGAAAAGCTTTCATCCACACCATCACCTCATCTGCCATCAGGAGATTCACAGCGTGGTCAAGCTAATCCAATCCTTGCTATGTGCAAGTTTTCCAGTTTGCTGGCCAAGTCCTGTGCAGCAGGTGAAGACTGGGAAATGCTTTTCTCCCGGTCTCCGCTCAAGGCGTTTTGGAACAGTTACTGACCTGTGGTGTGAACACATCCTAAGAGGAAACTTAACAGGTTTTTTAAGCTACCGCTTTCCCTTTGGTTTTTTTTTTTTTTTTTTCTTTTTTAATATATTTTATTGGGAGAGGGATAGAGAGTTAGAAACACTGATGAGAGAGTAACACCGATCAGCTGCCTCCTGCACACTCCCCACTGGGGCATCTCCTTTTGGTTTACCTCTTCCTGTTCACTACTAGTCCATCCTCTTATTTATTCTCTTTCAGGTGGTTCTACCAGGGGTCCTCAAACTTTTTAAAGTGGGGGCCAGATCACGGTCCCTCAGAGAGCTGGAGGGCTGGACTATATGAACTACTAATTCCTACTGTAACACCTCAGCTGCGCTCACTGCCCAAAAAACCTGGCGGGCCGGATCAGACTCCTCTGCGGGCCGCATGTGGCCTGCGGGCCGTAGTTTGAAGACGCCTGTATCTAAACCTTCCTAACAATGTAATAAATTGTGCCACTATCGCCAACAGGCTTTGAAAGCTCTGTGCATATCTGGATTTAAGCCCTGAAGTCCAAAAAGAGCACTGCTGATGTTCTAGGTGACCCGCGCTGGCATGGCACATCTTCTCCACCTTACTGCTTCCCTCTGACACCTACACAACACTCCTTTTTAAATGCTGGGTGTGTACACTTTGGCACGTTATTCACCTTCCCGTGATCCAGTTTTATCATTTGTAAACGATGGATTACAGTATAACTACCTCATAATGTTTTTGAAAGGATTTAAAAATGTAATCCAGATGAAGCTTTAGTGCATGACAGACTAAGCACTCAATAAATATTCACTATTTGTATTACAACTGTTGACCCCAAGAAGGAACATACCTGCAAAAAAGGACTTCCTAGCAATTAATTGGGTCCAAATTCTTCACCAGAGTCTAGTAGCCATTGCTGATAGAGGCCATACATGTGTCTTGCATCTCAAGGAAAAGTCACAGACTGAGGGGCCAGCCTCCTGAACTGTGTTTCTGCCAGCAGAGTTGGACTTAAAAGGAGTTCCTGGGATGTACGTTGGCCACTGGGCCAGAGACCTGCCCCATCCAATTAGAGCTGCACAATTAGAGCCTCATTTGCACCTTTACTGACCAATCAGTAGATCCGTAACAATCAACCAGAATGTGCAATTCCAACTTACTGGACAGTACTATTTGAACCAATTAAACTGCAAATTTGGATTCCTCATTTGCATAAAAATGGACCAATCAGTGACCATTGTGGGCATTTTATATAAGGGGCCTCCCCTTTGTCTCAGTGGAATGCACTTTCAGTTTCTGCCCATGGCTGCACTTCTCTGGTTTGCAGACTATTCACCTGAATAGTCTCTCCTTTTAATGCACACACAAAAAAAGTGTCATATCCATATAATGGAATATTATTCAGCCATAAAAAAAATGAAGTACAGATAATATGCTACATTTTGAGCCTTGAAAGCATACTTCATGCAAACAGCTGGACATAAAGGCCACAGTATGATTAATTTATATGAAATATCCAGAATAAGAAATCCAGAGAGAGAGAAAAAAAATAGATTAGTGATTGCCTGGGGCTTAAGGGAGGGAGAATGAGGAATAGCTGCTAATGGGTACAGGGTTTCTTTGGGAGTAATGAAAATGTTCTAAAATTGATTATGATGATGTTTGCAGAACTCTGTATATATATTGAACACTAAAAAAATAACAAACTTAAGAATTAGAGAGAGACCTAAAAGACAAACCAATTTGCATTGTGTAAACTTTATTTAGATCCTGGATTTTAAAAAATACACTATAAAGTAGAATTATAAAGCAAGTATGGAAATTTGAACATTGAATCTCTGATATTAATGAATTATTACTAATTTCTTATAGTTATGGAAATGAAATTGTGTTTTTAAAGAAGTGCCTGTATTTTTTTATATTTTTTAAAATATATTTTTTATTGATTTCAGACAAAGAAGAAGAGAGAGGGAGAGAGAGAAACAGAAACATCAATCATGAGAGAGAATCACTGATCAGCTGCCTCCTGCACACCCCTATTGGGGATCAAGCCCAAGACTTGGGCATGTGCCCTTGGCAGGAATCAACCTGGGACCCTTCAGTCTGCAGGCCGATGCTCTACTGAACCAAACCAGCTAAGATAGAGTACTTATATTTTAGAAATACATATTAAAATTTTTACTGGTGATACAATACAACTTCTAGGATTTGCTTCAAAATAAACTGGGGAGAGAGGTAGAAAGTAAATAGGTAAAGTGGTCATAAGTTGATAATTGCTCATTCAACTATTCTCCCCACTTCCCTGATGTTTGAAATTTTCTGTTAATAAAAAGAACAGAAGAAAGAAAATATTTCCATGTCATGTTATTTTGTTGTATATCAATCTCAACGGTGGGAAAACCCTATTTCAATTGTATTCTCAAGAAATGATTAATGGAAACATGTATGTGTATTATTTACAAATTGAGGAAATAAAGAGTTTTACTTTCAAAAAAAGAAACGATTGAAAAATACCTTGGACTTCCCCCGCCATCCTCAGCAACCACTTTTTCTGCCTCAATTACAATCTTTCCAAAAGAAGGCTTTCATTCTTAATGCTTTTTCCTTCAAAAACAAAAACAAAACAAAAAACACATTTATTGGCTTCCTTTTTTTTGCCTTAGACCTAATTATTTTTTAATTACATTTTAAAACTCATCTTTGATATTAAGTTGCTCCTTAAAAGATACATTGATTCATTTCCCCCTGGCTTGTCAATTTCACTTACTCCTCTGAGGAAGGCAGAACTGTGAGCCTTGGAGCCTCCTTGGTCACAATAATAGAAAGAGATTTTTTTAGGGCCAAAGCAACCCCACCTGAGCCCCATGTCCTTATGGAAACAATAATAGCGCTAATTTCCTGACTACGTACATACCAAGGAGGGGCAAAGTACCACTCACTTCACCTGAGTAATGTTATCTGGTCACTGCAACAAGCCTAGAGACAGGAACCATTATTTATCCCCATTTTGCTAGGACTTGCAGAATGATCAAGCAACTTACTCTTAAATCATACAGCTTTATGTGGCAGCACCAGGATTTGAGCCCCGGCTGTTTAGTTCCAGGGCCTGCACTTACACCAGACTAGATTACCTCCTGGGTGGAAACCAGCTCATCTGTGTTGTGGTATTACTCATGTCCAAGGAGCAGAAAGTTTAATTAAAATTCATTCAATCTGGAAACAGAAGATGGGCTGTCTCCCAGGGAAATCCTCTCCCCTCCCCCCCCCCTCGTTAGGACCATCAATTTCACAAATCTTACTCTTTAACAAAAACAAAAGCTCATTACTTGAAAAACATTCCACAGAGATCATTTAAAAGTTACAGATGAAAAGAGAGATTGCCTTAGCCTTGCCCACTCCTGACCTCCAGAAAATGCTTGGGTGAAGGGGCTAGGGCTAAGGGCTGGACTTTTCAGTAAAGAGAAAACAGAGTCCTCCTAAGTGAATCCAGATCCCAGTTAGGGTGAGCTGAGAGGCTTCCCCGAGCCACTCCCATCTCCACAAGCAACACCCAGGAATGACTTAGCACCAAAACACCAACAGGAGAAACGACTGAGGATCCCTGGCCACGTCTCAGGACTAAACTTCAGAAACACTGAGGACTACCTCCCAGGAAACTCCCTCCCCCTCGCAAGCTCCCCACCAAAACCAGCCTCCTTCCCTTGTGGGAGGGAGAGGGGTGGACTGGGCAGGGCAAGCAATGGTCCCCAGATGGGCTCAACATTGCACAAGGGAAGGTTTGCAGGACAGGACAAGGGAGATCTCAAATGATCTAAGAAAATGATGGGGCTGGAGTACAAAAAAAAAAAAAAAAAAAAAAAACAAGGACCAAAGTGGGATACAAAGTAACTGGGAACAGCGGTGGCTGGAACAGCAAAGACTGGGGGCAGAGGAATAAGAGGAGCCGGGAAAACAAAGAGGCTGGAGAATTACTAGTCCTCTCCGGATCGGAGCTACGGGGACACGGGGTTCAGGGGTCAGCAAACTAAGTGTTCGGAGAGGACGCTCAGCCTGTGTGGAGACAGCAGTGACTGGACACCGAGGGCCTGAGGACGCGGATGACCGAGGAGCAGGGGGAGCCTGAATTGGAACCGGGACTCAGGAAGTCTACGAGTTAGTTGGGACTGAGACACGGGAGGTCTGAGAACCGGGGGGTCTGGTAACTGGGCAAGGGGTCGGGGGGCTGGGAAGGGCTGGCGGGTTGGAATACAGGTGTCGAAGGGCTTGTTCCCAGAGATGGACAGGAGGCAGGGGACTAGGAGTGCCTGGGCTCGGGACGCCCGAGAACTGCAGGTGATCAGGACAAGAACTGGGCTGGTGACAGTGTTCTGGGACCGCTGGGACAGGGGTCCGGGAGCGGGACGTGGGGACCAGGGGCCGGAGTGTGCAGCTGAGGCGGCGGAAGCCGGGGCGGGCGGGGCGGGTGACAGCGGCGGAGCCGCCACTCACCGCTCATGGTGCCGCTCCCCGGGCCGGTGGAAGCGCCTCGCCGCTACTGCCGCCGCCGAGCTCCGACAGGCCGGGCCACTGCGCGCCCCGCCCCGCCCGCCGGCCCGTCCTCCCGCCCCGCCCCGGAAGTGGAGTGTCGGCGCTGTGGCCCCGCCCCCCGACCCGGAACGTAAACACCGGCGCCGGCGCGGGGCCGGCAGACTGGAACCTCCTCGGAGACACGTGGTCTGTCCATGGTCGGGTACAGCGGGGTGATCTGGACGCGTTGGGCCGGGACGGGCAGACTGGAACCTCCTCGGAAACACGTGGTGGTCCGTCCGTGCTGGGGTACAGCCGGGTGATCTGGACCCCTCCCCGCCCTCTGGGGCTCACACCTCTGCCGGAAAGCCAGACAGTAAACAAGGAAGTCCCGAGAGGGAAAGACGCCAGGCAGCGCTAGAAGCAGAGAAGGGGAAAGACTAATGGGCCAAAGCATGGGGACAGGGGAGACGGGCCGTCCCAGAGGGCCTCTCTAAGGAAACGACTTTATTTTTTTTTAATATATTTTATTGCTTTTTTACAGAGAGGAAAAGAGAGAGAGAGAAAGTTAGAAACATCGATGTGAGAGAAACATCATCGATCAACTGCCTCCTACACACCCCCTACTGGGAATGTGCCTGCAACCAAGGTACATACCTTTGATCAAATGAAACCCAGGACCTTTCAGTCCTCAGGCTGACGCTGTATTCACTGAGCCAAACCGAAGGAGACAGCGGAGAAGATCTGCTGGAAAGGAACAAGTGCAAAAGGCCCTGCCGAGAGGGATTGGCTGGAGGGAGAGCGTGAGTGAGTAAGGGGTAGTCAGGTCAAGAGTTGGGTGGAGGTGGTTGGGAAAAAGATCAAAACTGGAGTATCAATACTCATTTCTGACAAAATAGACTAAGATCTGGAAACAGCCCAAGTGCCCATCAGCAGATGCGTGGATAAAAAAGCTGTGGTACATTTATATCGTGGAATACTGTGCAGCAGTAAAAAAGAAGAGTCTCACCCTTTGAGACAGCATGGAAGGACCTGGAGAGTAGTATGCTAAGTGAGATAAGTCAGTCAGAGAAAGACAAGTATCACATGATTTCATTCCTATGGACTCTAATTAACAAAATAAGCTGATGAAGGGAGTGGATCCAAAGACGTGGAAGCTGGGATCTATCGGGAAGGTGGGGCTGGGTGGGTTGGTGGAGGTAATCATCCAAAGACCTTCTATGCATATATGCATAATCCATGGATGCATACAGTGGGGAGGTGAGGGCCTGGGGTGGAGGTTGGGGGCAGTGGGGATGATGGGGGGAAGGGGGTCTTATGTAATACTTTAAACAATAAAGCTTAAAAATAAAAGAGTTGGGTGTAGGACCTTGCAAGCCATTGTAAGCTGTTTGAACTTTTCAACCTGACTCTTAAGTAGTGTTTGCACAAGAAACATTCAAACCTGTAGAGAATTTTTATGAGTTTAGTTGAACCAAACTTTCAACAACTGCTGGGAAGCAGAATCTCAATGTATTGAGCTAATGCTCCAGAAAATCGCAGTTTTTCACTAATTTTTATAAATTACCATCAAAGGAGGAGAGTAAGTGGGTTACATGAAATCCTTTGGTGATAGATTTGGGATGTGGTAGAAAGCAAGGCAGGAAAACCTCTGGGATTGGAAAAAAAGTAAGCTAATAGACACATGCTTCTTTTACATAGGTGGGCATAGGATAGTTAAGTCAACAATTAAGGATAACAGTAACAATGAAGGGATTTGCGCATTGATTGTGCCCCAAGGGGTCTGGAAAAAGGGAAGGTACAAGTTACTAGTGACATTCCAAAGGTATGTTATCTAGATGCAAAAAAATTAAAAATGGAACTCCCATTCAACCCAGACTTTAACTTGGTGCTGGAAGACCAGGAATCAAAAGCCTAACATCAACTTTTGAAAAATCTAAATTCATTGAGGAGGTTATACCAGGTTTGAGGGGATTAGGAGCAATATCATAGTAAAGGAGTTTGTGCCTGCCCTCAGAGAGACTCAACCTCAAAGGAACTAATAAAAATCAGAGCAGTGTGACTAACCAAATTGCTTATTATAAACCAGATACTTTTATGGGGGGGAAATGTTGTGTGTTTATGTAACATACAGTAGTTAAGTATCTTTCTTATAGTCACCCAAGGTCTATCACCTACTAACAGAGCCAGGATTCAAACCCAGGCAGTCAGGCTCTAAGAGCCAGAGCCTTAACCACTATACCGGTTTGTCTCCTGTGGCCCTCAAGGGCTTGAAAAGGAGCCACGATGGGTCCCAAATAGGAAAAAGATCCCGCCAAGGTTCCCCCTATCCCAAGCCTGACACAAAAGCCACAGAGCCCCAAGACCTTGAAGATCTATGCTGTGGTGTCAGTGGGCATCTTAATGATCAAAATCAATCGATGATCACAGTGCAGCCTTTCCATAAAGAGCTGTGCACAGCCCCAAGATCTTTGCTCAACCCCAAAAGAGAAATCCTCCCCCTATAATGACTAAGACTGTAACCCAAACAGATGGGGAACTCAGACATGGAACTAAGTTGATGTGGAAAGAAAAAGAAAAAAAAATAGATCAAGATGTCTGGGTTTCAATCATGGCTTTGCCATTTAATGGCTATGTGACTTTGCTCTCCCTTCGTTTCTGTCATAATCTGTAAAATGGAGATGATGGTGGTCCACCCACTTGTACTTTGTTGTATGCAGTTAAATGAGTGAGTACAGGTAAAGCACTTAGAACAGTCCCTGCACATTAGCAACTATATAAGTGTTAGCAATCATCATTACCTGCATTTGGGTCTAAAAAGTATACCTATCACCGTTTGTAATTCTACCCATATTTATATGATTATAATAGTGCCCGAGGCCTCCAGTAGGCTGGAAATTCACAAGGTCATTGCACACTGAATTAGCACAGCTGACTCTAGGCTTCTCCTGTCTACAGAAGTACGCAAAATAACCTTGTTTGCCTTTACCATAAAGAGAAAAATTCAGTCTGTTCTGAAGTGCATCTGTGCCTGTAGAGGAGGGAAGTGGTCCAGCCGCAGAAAGGTGTCACTACGGGATCTACACAATGCAGTCCTTTTTTTTCAGTGAGTCAAGAATTTAATCATCAAAACCAATGACGTTTCCACGGTTAAGCTCCCAACAGTAAGACAGAGAAATATATCTAACACAATGATTTTCTAGAATTAGAGGACAGAAAGCTCTATGGGCCACTCATAACCATCCTAAAGAGGCCTGATAAACCATCCTTTCCTCTGACAAAAGATTCTCAAAGTAGCTCTGCATCGCTCAAAATGGTTAATTATCTGGTGGAAATGGATTTCTCCATCCTTGTGAGACTCTCAATAGCTAGCAGGCCACTGCAGTAGTCGTTCGTTTTTGTGGTGACAAGGATGGTTGCGCCTTCCTCCATTGCTGGGAGCGGAAAGAAATGGTCAGAGTCGACCTTTGGTTGGCTCTTGACACAGTCTTCACAGGTACAGTCTTCTACAGTGTACTCCAGGCTTCTGGAAAGAATTTCCTCACCGGTCCTGCTATCTTCTTTACCACCCAGGTCAGCATTCACCTCGTTCCGAAGAGGTGATCCTGATTACACAGAAACAGAAAAGTTAACCTAAACTTCCCAGGAGGTGTGGTCATGGCAGTCCCAGTAGTACACCTCAGGTGGAGAGCCGTTCCAGACAAATCTTTCCCTACAAAACAAATGACTATGTCCTACTCTAGAAGTCAGGAACTAACAGGCCACTGGACACAAGAGGCTCAAAGACATGCTTTGGGGCATAGAGTGTTTTTATGTGTTTGCTTATGTTGACCCACATTTAAAAATCAAGGGATTGCCCTGGCCCATGTGGCTCAGCTGGTAGAAGTCTTGTCCGTGCACCAAGAGGTGGCAGTTTCAATTCCCAGTGTGCGGGAGGCAATCAATAGATATTTCTCTCTCACATCAATGTCTCTTTCTCGCGCTCTCGCTCTTGAATTAAAAAAATAAAAGTATTTTTAAAAAATCAAGTGATTTTGCATACAAATCTAGACTGGCCTTGATCTTATTTTACACAAATTACCATCTGTTACAGCACACCAAAATCAGCCTATAGGAACACGTTAGAATTCCAAGTAAAGATGCTTCTCTTTTCACATTTTGTGTCAGATTAAAAAAGTGTAATGAGCCGAACCTGGTTTGGCTCAGTGGTAGAGTGTCTGTCTGTGGACTGAAGGGTCCAGGGTTCGATTCCGGTCAGGGGCATGTATGTTGGTTGTGGGCACATCCCCAGAAGGGGGTGTGCAAGAGGCAGCTGGTCGGTGTTTCTCTCTCATAGACGTTTCTGACTCTCTATCTCTCTCCCTTCTTCTCTGTAAAAAAATCGATAAAATATATTTTTAAAAAATAAATAAATAAAAATAAAAACATAAAAAAGTGTAATGACTCTCCATGATCACATAAGGAAGGAGTCTCCATTATGCCCCCATCATATGCCTGTGAAGATGTTTTACTATTTCCCCAACCTTCCACAGTGTAACTCAATCTTCCAAAACACCACACTTAGAAGTCCTTCCCCACCTGTTTCTCAAGTTCCAAGCAAAACAAAAATAAAAATGAGTAACATTATATAGGACAACCATTTACCTCTCCTTATGCAAGGAGAGTGAATAAGGTGGATGCTTTGCAGATTATGCACAAAAAATGCAGAAAGAAATAGGGCAGAGGCTGCAGAGTGTTTGAGAATCAGATTGTCAGCAAAGGTGCCGCAGAAGTAGTTTTATCTTAAGAAGCCCTTAAGACCTTGAGGGTGTAAGGAACAATCACTTCTCCGGAACATTCAGTCCTCTGGGACTGGTTCTCTACTGATTATAAAGATGCTAATCTTTGAGGTGATTGCTTACATAATCCAGGAGCAACTGGTTATTCAGTTCCAACATTTTTCAACAGTAAAATGTTCACCCAAGCAAATAGCACATATTAAACATGTGGCCATGGAGCGTGCCAAATACACCTTTCCTGATACGGTAGTAGCAGACCTGGCTAGCAGTAACATTTAGTCAATGTGTGAATTTTGATCAAAAAGATGGTTTGGCTCAATGGATAGTGTTGGCCTGTGGACTGAAAGGCTCCAAGTTCGATTCTAGCCAAGGGCACATGCCTGGGATGCGGGCTCAATCCCCAGTGGGGGGCATGCAGGAGGCAGCCAAGCAATGATTCTATCTCATCATTGATGTTTCTAACTCTCTCTCCCTCTCCCTTCCTCTCTAAAACCAATAAAATATACTGTTTTTTAAAAATGGTAATTCAAAAGAGTGATTTTCAAGGGAAGAATGCAGGAGAAGACTGACACTATAGGACACCTGCAAAGAAGGTGTAAACAAGGAGAGAAGACAGCTCCCTTCAACCAAGAAGTGCATTTGACATATCTGTCCTCTGACACACTCAAAAGGGCTCCAACCTAATAAAATCTTCAATGTAAAAAAAGAAAGAGGAACTGAAACTCGAAAAAGCCACCTCTGAGAAACAGATTTCTAAGATTGGCCACCAGACTAACCTGTGCTTCTAAATTCGTCCTTTGAAGGTTCAGAGCTCATCTTCCTTAGCAAGATCATCAGCACGAAAATTGTCAAAGACAACAGCAAGCTCAGGCCCAAACAGGTCCAGAGAGTGGTATTTGTTCCTTTCACTGAGTTAAAAGCAATGTCAGAGAGAGAGAATGAACTGGTAACATCAAGTAAAGATTATTTGCTACCCAATTCCCCCTCATTCATCAGCATTGACTTTCCAATTCTAAATAACACTTAATTAGAAGAGTTGATAAAATACAGGGTTGCTAACAGTGCTGAATAAAATTTAGTTCAGCTCTGAATAATCATTCCTGTTGGCATTTAAATAACGGCCTCATTACCTTTCTCCTTTTGGATTCACAATATTTCACCCCCTTCCCTGTAATGTTTATTCTTTGAATAAGCACTCAGTATAGAAAGAATACTGCACACCAACGAATAATTGTTCAAGCAGTAGTACTTACTTGTATTGCAGAAACGCTGACATATGAGAGGAGGGGTATTAGAACACCGAAGGTGACACGATTTGCAAGCATTCAGCAATCTGTCAAAATATTCATTTTGGAGGCACTGCTGAGCCATCTGGAACTTGATCACAAAAAGAAACAAAAAAACCACAAAGAGAACCGCATGGAAAGACAAGTAGATTCTCTTCGAGAATTCCCCAGCCAGTGGAAGGAGAGCAGCTACAATGTCCAACAACTTCGAGGAAATAAAAGAAGTTCACCTCGATGGCTCTGGGCTTATAGGGGATGCTTTTCTGTACTGTGGCCAAGGATTTGAATACCAATTCTCATTCCCCTTTCGTAGTTTGAGGCTTGGGTGGGGTACGAGATGGCACGTCAATATCAAGGGCAAGTCGTACCTGAAACAGAAACTGCTTATTAATAGTGACAAGGTCTCAACCAGGTGACAGTTGCAAGACATAGATAAGCCTGAGGCACCAGGCAGAAGGTTCTATAACCATGTTACGGTGCATCTGTTTATGAGCGGAGCTGTGTGGCAGGCCCCAGGGAGCTGGGTAAGACAAAGCCTGTGCCCCTCACAGAGGAGATCGAAATTCACACATGGAACCCCAACACAGTAGTTGGAACTGATGGAATGTGAAAGAGGGAAAGGGGTAACAAGCATGCCTACCAGGTTGTGAACCTAGGTAGAATTCCAGAATTCTGACCGAAAGAGGGAACTCTCAGGAAAAAGCTAAACTGGCCTGTGAGTTGAAGAGAAAGATATGTTTAGAGTATTTTTAAATTTCTTTCTTGATTTTTAGAGAGAGAGGAAGAGAGAGGGATAGAGAGAAACATCATTGATCGCTGCCTCCTGCATGCCCACTACTGGGGATCAGGCATGTGCCCTGACTGGGAATCTAACCAAGGCCTCCTAGTTCATGGGACGACGCTCAACCATTGAGCCACACTGGCCGGGATAGCACTTTTTTTTTTTTTTTTTTTTTTTACTTTTTTTTTTTTAAATGAAGGACTTGAGCCTTGAAGAGAGTTTGGACGTGGGCATTGATTAAAACCTCCCATTCCTCTGGGGTCCAGGCGGAAGCCTGTGTGGGATAGCCAGGAGCTGAAAGGGCTGGCCCAGCAGGTCCCCCAGTGAAAATGGACTTTTGGAAAGCAGGTAAAGGCTCACAGGAAAAGCATAATTAGAGGGAGAGGAGGACAAAGATTGTCTCGCCAAAACAGCCAGGCAGAAAGGGAGTTTCAGGTCAGGATGAGTAGTGAGGGTCAAAGTCTATAGAAAAGTCAGAGGTGAAACACTAAGGTCGTTGGTAGCCTTTGGGGGTGTCAGCATATAGAAACCATATTGTAGATATTTAGAAAGCAGAGAGAGAGGAGGCAGTCACCCTAGCCGATTTGGCTCAGTAGATAGAGCATCAGCCTTCAGACCAAAGGGTCCCGGGTTCGCTTCTGGTCAAGGGCATGTATCTAGGTTGCAGGTTCCTTCCCAGCCCAGGCCCTGGTCAGGGTTCATTCAGGAAGCAACCAATCAATGTGTTTCTCTCACATTGATGTTTCTCTCTGTCTTTCCCTCTCTCTTTCACTCTCCCTAAAAATCAATGGAAAAATATGCTTGGGTGAGAATTAACAAAAAAACAAACAAGAGGAGGCAGTCAATGTGGGCAATGCCTGGGAAGTCTGGTGGAAACTGGAAGAACAAAGCTTTAATAACTCTTGGAAAAGAAAGCACTGTTGGGGGAGGAGGAGGTGGTCAATCAGGTAAAAAGGAGACATATGTAATACTTTAAACAATAAAGAGAGAGAGAGAGAGAGAGAGAGAGAGAGACATATGTAATACTAAGTAAGACAGATGAGACAGATGTGCTTACTTAGGTGCCTGAAGTAACATGTACCAGGTACAAGGGTGTTCACTGCAGTATCATTTGTATTTTCAAAAGCCTGCCCGTCAATGGGAGCCTCAAAGTGGAATACTACACAGCCATCAAAAAGAATGAGACAGGAGTGTTTTGGTTTTTCGTTTGTTTTTATTAATCATCACCTGAGGATATTTTTCCCATTGATTTTTTAGAGAGTGGAAGGGAGAAAGGGAAGTGGAGAGAGAGGGAGAGAGAGAGAGAAAGAGAGAGAGAGAGAAACTTCAACGTGAAAGAGACATCAATTGGTTGCCTCCCTTACCCACCCCAACAGGGACCGGGGAATGAACCTGCAGCCCAGGTAGATGCCCTTGACCTAAATTGAACCCAGGACTCTTCAGTCCACAGGTCAACACTCTAATCATTAAGCCACAGAGGTGAGGGTGAGACAGATGTGTGTTGATATGAGTGACACAGTACTGAGCAGAAAATGAAAGGTACTGAACAGTATGTATAATCTGCTCTTCTGTGTTTACAAATAAAATAACTGGGTTTGTATATAGAGACAGACATAGGCTAGCTACATCTGGAAATATACACAACACACTGATAGTAATTGCTTCTGGCAAGAGATAGGAAGCAGCACAGGGAAAAGATTGCATTAAAAAATCTTTGGTACTATTTGTATACTTTTTTTAAAAATTTTTAATTGATTTTTTTTTAGAGCAGTGATTTTCAACCTTTTTTGGGCAAAGGCACTCTTGTTTCATGAAAAAAATCACAAGGCACACCACCATTAGAAAATGTTAAAAAATTTAACTCTGTGCCTATATTGACTATATATAAAGTAATTCTCTTGAATAGGAATCAAATAAACACAAAGAAAGTATTTTATAATTACTTTATTATGAAATATTAAGTAAACAAAATAGTGAAAAATTATAAAATTCTTGTCTTGTCTGCACCTACGGCACACCAGGCAACATCTCGCGACACACTAGTGTGCCACGGAACAGCGGTTGAAAAACGCTGTTTTAGAGAAACACCACATTGTTGTTCCACTTACCGTGTTTCCCGAAAATAAGACATCCTCCAAAAATAAGACCTACTTACAGGTTTCCTTCTGAATGAAATATAAAGCATCCCCCCAAAATAATGCCCCCACCTAGGCTAAACATGAGAGATTTGGTCCACTGATTCTGAAAGAAATGGAGTCCCAAGAATTTCACCAGGAAATTCAGGAATTGGATTGTTATAATGATGTTCTAGATAGAAGATGATGGCATGATTGTCATTGAATAAATGAGTAAATTCTTGATACTTTAGGATTCACAGTTTGTCTGGTTTGTGTTGACAACTACAGTCCTACCGTACCGTATACAGGTAATAAATGTCCTTTATTTTCATTTAACAATAAATGTGTACCATATTCTTCTTCATGGAAAAATAAGACATCCCCTGAAAATAAGGCCTAGTGCATCTTTGGGAGCAAAAATTAATATAAGACACTGTCTTATTTTTGGGGAAACAGGGTATTTAGGCATTCATTGGAACCTGAAACCTTGGCATATCAGGACAACACTCTAACCAACTGAGTTGCCTGACCAGGACTGAATAATTATTATTTTTTTAAATATATTTTATTGATTTTTTACAGAGAGGAGGAGAGAGTGATAGAGAGCTAGAAACATCGTTGAGAGAGAAACATCGACCAGCTGCCTCTTGCACACCCCCTAACAGGGATGTGCCTGCAACCAATGTACATGCCCTTGACTGGAATCGAATCTGAGGCCTTTCAGTCTGCAGACCAACGCTCTGCCACTAAGCCAAACCGATTTCAGCTGAATAATTATTTTTTAATAATAAGGATTATTTTTAAAATAAGAATCCTTTTTTTAAAGGGGAGATATCTTAGTCTGTTCAGACTGGGTGGTTTAGAAATAACAGAAAGTTATCTCTCATAGTTCTGGAGCCTGCAAGTCCAAAGTCAAGGTACCAGCAGATTTAGTGTATGGTGAGAGCCCACTGAATAGCCATCTTTTCACTATAACCTCCCAGGACAGAAGGGGCAGAGATCTCTCTGGAGCCTCTTTTATAAGGTTATTAATCCAGTTCATCACGGCTCCACCCTCCTGACCTACCAAAGGCCCCCACCTCCCATTACCATCACATGGGGGATTAATTTTCAACACATGACTTGAGGGGTGGGGATAAACACTCAGGCTCTAGCGGGTGGGAACTTCGAGGACAAAAGGAAGTAGAGTGAAAAAGGAAGGTTTCCTGTCACTATTTCTTTCAGTATGTTTTCGGTATCTTGCTCTCTCTCTTCTTCTGGGACCCCCATAATTCTGATGTTGGTTCGCTTGAAGTTGTCCCAGAGGTTTCTTACATTATCTTCAACTTTCTGGATTCTCTTGTCTTCTTGCTTCTGTGGAGGAGAGTACTCTGGGTCTTTGTGTTCCAAATCTTTTACTTGATTCTTGCGATCTTCCATTCTGTTTTTAGGACTCTGTATAATATTTTTTATTTTAGACATTGTATTCTTTATTTCTTGTTGATCCCTTATTATTTCTAGTTGATCCCTTTTCATATCCTCATAGGTCTCATTTATTTTACCTAGGAAATTCTTGAAAAACCTTAGAAGCGTGGTTTTGAACTCTATATCCAGTCGCTTTTTGTCCTCCATTTCTTTTGTTTGTGATCTGTTTCCTTGTCTCGGCATTTCCACAGCTTCCCTGAGTTGGTAGCCTTAAAAGTCTCTGTGTTCAGCTTGGATGGGGCGGAGTTTCAGGGTGGAGCCTACAGCCTTGGCTTCTGTCAGCCATGCCCTATGAGGCTCCTGAGTCTCAGTATTCCTCAGGGTCCTTCAGCACTCGTTGCAAGCACCTCTGAGAGTAAGGTGCTCTCGAGTTTTGCACGCTACCAAACAGTCTAGGCTCTCCCCCAATGCGCTCGGAACTGGGGTTCAGTGCAGTCAGAACTGGGGCTCAGCACAGTTCGGAGCTTTTGTCTCCTTTCCACTAGGGCAATCTAGCAGCAATCAATGGTCCATCCTCTGGGTGCAATATACGCGCCTCCAGGACTGCCTTTCGCCACTCCCCTGAGATTCCGCCTAACAGCCCAGGCTCCCTCTGTTTGAGCCTGGGTCCCCAGGGTCTGGCCTAGAACTGGGATTTAGTGCTGTCGTATCTGGGGTCCAGCATAGTCCGGAGCTTTTATCTCCTTCCTGCTAGGGAACACCAGCCAGGCACTCAGCCTCCCCCTCCTCTCCGGCTCTGTCCTCTCCCCAAGTGCACTCCGTGTCTCCGTACCTTTAGCTTTTACAGCTCGTCTGATTTTCCTTCTGGTTTTCTCTTTCCTTCTCGTTGTAGAATTTCCAGTCAATCGACTTTCCTGTAGTTCTGGGTAATGTCCATTTTGTATTTTAGTTGTATTTTATTGAAATTGTTGTGTGAGGCTGCAGTTAGGTATTACCTATGCTGCCATCTTGGATTCTCTCCGGGATTCAGAAGGTTTCCTAAGGCTGAAAGCACACACTAAGGAAA